TGTCTCCAGTGAGAACCCAGATCTTAATGTTGGCCAGAGTGAGGAGAGCGATGGTTTCTGGGACACCTTCCTGCAGCTTGTCCTCTATAGCTGTGGCACCAAGAAGCTGGACACATATATGGATTAAAGCAGAAAAAAATATTTTGACAATTTTTTTCTACCCCAAGAGATTGTTTTTTTTTTCCCAGACTGACAGAGTTCTTCCCTAAAATTATTATTTCATTCAAAGGGATTATATTTACATTATTTTGGCTCATGTAGTCATTTAATACCATTTATTTTTCATATTTGATCATTTACTGAATTACATTTATCACATCTCTACTATAATCTGGGGCATATAAATATTCATCTTTTAGTGCTAATATTTATTTAGAAAAACAAAAGTAGCAGAAACAGTTTCTCTCGCTGTGAGAGAAACTCAACAGGCTGAATGCTCCTGCGGTGGTGCACGTCTCTGTCTCTCTCTCGGACCCGGAGTTTGGTCATGTGTGCAGGTTGCACATGCCTGTACAACGATGACGACACTCTGAACACATTAATGTTTAATACAAAGTTAGATTTTAGATACAAAAGTCCCGGGACGTCAAGGAGCAGTGTGGAAGGAGGAGGTGATGGTTTATCAGTTCTGGTATCTTCCCTGGCTGCTGTGAACTGGTCATGTGCAAAAACGTATGTTTAATACGTAGACGTTGATTAATTTATTACATGTCATCACCTTCATGAAGGGGCGGGTAGTTCTCTTAGGGTAGCGGTGCGTTCTCCTTGGTTTGCTGCAGGTGAGCAGTTTGTCACTGCTGCTCACTCAGGTTCAATGTGAACCAGACAGCAGGCCCCGCCCTGCTCTGCTCTGATTGGGTCAAACTGTGGCTCTGGTTCTCTTTATTGGTGGAAAGCAGCATCAGTTTAATCCCTGCATCATCATTAGATTGGACGGCTTTAACAGGACCACAACTAAACACTTCTTCTTCCCCCTCATTTTTACAGATGACAAATTAGTCCTGGCCACGTTCAAAATGATAAAAATCCATCTCTGCAACAATCCATGCACATAAACCCAAGAACGTAGATGTATTTTTTTTTTCAATTTCAACAATAGCAGCAAACTTAACAAGGTCTTAAAAGCAAACAACCTTAAAAAAATCAATTAAAAAAGGCAAATTTCAAATAAAATGTTAAGCTATTGTAAAGAATCATCCCAGAACAGTTAGGGTCTAGGTAACACGTTTAAGCTAGTAATTATTTAATTTTGTTTTGGGACTCACCATCATGTCTTGTTCTATCTTGTCATAAACCGCTGCAAGTCTGTCCTCCCTGTAGTCCGTGGCTTTGTCAGCAAGACGCTGGCTCTCTGACCAGACCTCCCACTCGTCCTCAGAAAGGTCCCTGAAGGCCAGGGCGAGGGTCCGCAACCCATCTGCTCCATACTCCTAAATCCCAAAACACACACAGAAACATGTACAAAACATACCTGGTGTGTGCACTCTGAGATGAAGATAATTAACATTTAAATATTCATAAAGGTTCATATTTAACCACTGGTGATAAAATATGCATCCCGTATGCATTTTAGGTGAAATTGAAAAGAAAATGATCAGAGTGATGATACACTAGATGGCACTGCAGCTCCATGCACTATGTCATAAGCTAGTGATCGTTTCTTACATTAAGGTGGTCTGAGGTGATGGTCATCAGTTCCAGGTTGGAGGGGTGGAGTCTTTCTAACAGCACAGTGTCGGCTCCTTTACAGTAAAGACGGATCCTTCCTTCTGGGTTTCGAACTAAAAGAGATACACAGAGAGAAACAATCAAAATGGCCATAAAGCCAGAGAAATTTTGCAGCACTTTCAAAAGATTTAGTCCTTTTTCCAAGCTGATAAAACACATTTCATCTTTCATATGGGCTGTTGGTAAGATGCACACGTGTGAACTCGAGGCCGAATGTTACACTGCAGCTGCAACTCAGGTAAAGGTTTTACCTGCTCACTTTTCAGACGCTTACAGGACAAACAGGAAAAAACTCAAAGGTCCCCAAATGATGTGAATAATAATAATAATTAATTAATTTAAATACACATCTGATATTTTTGTTCAATAAAAGGGAAATTGTATTTTTAGTTGTTACACTATTACAGCTGCTGCAGAGTGAAGAACAGTGTGCCCCATAACCTTTACATGTCCTGTACCTTTTTGAAATAAGGAATCACTCTTTCGGCAGTGGCTGCTTTTTGAAGCTTTAGCATTGGTTAGCTGGTTTTGACCTGAAGACATTCTGATCTACCGTGATCAATAATCAGGGTCAAAACTAACCCAAGCTCAGCCCATTTTGAAACTGACAACACCGTCATTGTGAAAATCCCACACCAGGTCAGTTCCTGTTTTAACTCCTGCCTCAGGAAAATAAAACACACAGATAAGTCAAAAAAGAAAAAAAAACTTGTTTTGACAGTGTCTAAATGACTAAAACTGTAAGAATAGTGTTCACAATAAAAAGCTCAATTACTCTTCTATAAATTAGCTTTAAACATACTCATTGCAAACTATGAAATCTAACAAAAAACTAATCCTGAACTATATCAAATGGTGCCTTTTAAAAGGGTTCACTCCAGTAGCTGTCCAGAGGTTTTTATGAGAATTCAGAAATGCAAGTGTGCATTTAATGTAAACAAAACTCTCGTTTGAATCAACTAAAACTACGTGGAAGCTTGAGTTCCATTACGTTGGCCTTACGTCTGCGTAGGTAAACAAATACGAGCAGTAAGTTTAATGTGTAACTTGTTTTTAGTCGCTTTAGCACTTTTCTAGGTAAACACGCACATGATAGTTGGCATCTGGTCACAAATTTAGCTCACAATTTTTATTTTAAGGACACATTAACCATCAAAATGAGAAAACTACTGTGAAAATTTAGTTTCTTCCATTTTTTTTGGCCAGTTTTCATGCATTCTCAATAAGTGCATTTAATATTTTGACTCGTAATATTTGTAAATCTTTTTTATTTCTTTACCTGAGGTGACACGTTTGATTGTGTATTTCTTTATGTTTACAGTTGCACTTGCTCTTATCTGTTTTGTCTTTGTTGACAAAATTAAATAAAGCTGCATTTAATTTACCACCCAAGTTCCCTTTTACTTTGGAAAAGTGGGTATTTCGGAGTCACACTGCACATTTTCTCCATTTAAAATTTAAACAAATAATGTCCTCACACCTATAACAGACATCCTTTTGCGAATGTTGTTGAAGTCCAGGATGGCAAGCAGCGAGTAGGTGACGGTTTGGCCAATCTCTGTGGTTGTAATCGTCCCGGGCGTTCGGGAGCGAAACACGAAGCCGAAGTTTCGAGCTGCCGTCACCAGAGCTCCCTCATCTGGAGACTGGGCTTTATAAACCAGCTCTCCTGCGCAGACGGACACCAGGAACAATAATAACATGATATATAATACATTATTGGTGTTATTGTCCGACAGATGGCTGCCTGGTTGTGTAGCTCACCTTCGCTCTTCTCCTCACTCATCACAGTGTGACAGAGAGAAAGCAGGCGGAAAAACTCGTGAGCGCTCAGGTCGCCCATTTTCACTGACTCCAGCAGCTTGTCGTCATAAAAACAGAAATCTGGGTCTGCCAGGGGGTTAAAAGTGGTGAAGTCCAGCCTCTGAAGACAAAACAAGAGAGGAGGGGGAAATGATAATATATAATAAACTATATGTATGTATAAAAACATGTGTTCAGATGTTTTATTATTAGTAATTAAAAAATTCAACCTTGGGCTGTTTTCCAATTTGATCTGTTCCTTCACCTGGCAGGAAAACAAAGGACAGCTAACGTACAACATAACGATGCGTGAACATCTGGTGATTTAGTTTCTCTTTATTCTTTACCGTAGGTTTGTCCATTGATGGAGCACTTATTGAAGCTCATGATGTTCTGAGTGAGAGTTCCTGTCTTGTCACTAAAGATGTATTCAACCTAAATAAACAGTTTAACGTCACATAAAGGGTACAGTACTGTGCAAAAACTTGAATTCTGCTGCTTTTCAATATTTTTCAGTCTAGTCTTTGTACCTAATCATTAACAGCATAATGTGCTGTGGATAAACCCCCAAAAGCACAAGAAAGTCTGGCTGCTTTGAAGCAAAACAAACAAATGAAGAACTCAAAAACTCTGATTACTAGATATTTTTAAAGATTTAAGATGTTAAATTAATCAAACTAGATTTGATACAGTGACCTAACTTTACATAATAATCCAAGGGTGCATTCCAAACTAAGCATTCTTTTAATCTACAAACTCGTTTTGCATCTGCGGTAAAAAAAAAAAAAAAAAAAAGAAAGAAAGTGCTCCTTTTATTAATTTGATTCAGAAGAAAATGTTTAACTATTGAAAAGTGCAACTGGTATATTTCAAAGAATGAATAATGAAGTGAACAACTACAGACTGTTGAGGCTTAATTTGAGCCAGATCCTGCCAGAACAGGATCTGGGAACTCTCTTATTTTGACAGGGTGTGTTCTAGCAACTGGTAGAGCTGCTGCCTCTCAGCGAGCAGGTCCCTGGTTCAAACCCCGGTCCAGGGGCCTTTCTGGGTGGAGTTTGCATGTTCTCTCCGTGCATGCGTGGGTTTTCTCCGGGTACTCCGGTTTCCTCCCACAGACCAAAAACATGCATGTTAGGCTGATTGGTAACTCTAAATTGTCCCTAGGTGTGAGTGAGAGAGTGAATGGTTGTTTGTCTCGTTTGTCTCTATGTGGCCCTGTGATGGACTTGCGACCCGTCCAGGGTGTACCCCGCCCCTCGCACAGTGATTGCTGGACATGGGCACCGGCGACCCCCGTGACCCAAAATGGAATAAGTGGGTAAAGAAAATGGATGGATGGATGGATGTTCTAGCAACTGTTTGCTTGGATCCGGTAACTCTCACGCTTACGACCAGTAATAATAAAGTTATGAACAAATATGAGTGCTTTGAATGAATTAAACTTATATTGGATTACATAAACACTCATTTTAAACACAACAGCCACTTACAATATCACATACGTGCCTTTTCAAGTAAGCATTTTTGCCTCTACCTTTAAAAAAATCTCTGCCCCTAAAAGTCCAAAGTCATCATGAAATTTTATTTAAAAAAATCAAAAATATAATTAAACAGCAAAACAAAATTGCAAATCAGTTTGACGGTTTAAGTGGGTCATTAATAATTTTTTTATTATTTTTTAAAAATACAATAGAAATGTTTGATTATTCACATTACATATCAAAACGACGGCGCTAATTTGTCAAAAACAACAGCGAGGATGATTGACAGAAGCAGAGTGCTTACAAATGTAGGTAAACAAAGATGTTTAACAACCTGTTAAAATACACTCAAATGCAGGAAATCACATCTACTTTAGTGCAAATATTATTTATAACATTATTTGTGTTCCGGCATCGATCGCTTTACAAATTAAGCCCCGCAGACTGTCATTCAGCACCCATAGATTATCACCTAAACACACACGATGCAAGTGCCCACCTGGCCCAGTTCTTCATTCAGAGTGGTGGTTCTGGCCTCGGCTGCTGTGTTACACTGTGAGCAGAACATGTGCTGGTCCCAGTTAATGAAGTAGCTGTGTCCCAACCGGATCACCTCCACACTGACGCAGCAGAAGATGACATATATCAACACATATTTATATAAAACATCAAGAGTTTTTCTGTGGATTGAAAATGTGATATTTATGTGCTCAAAAAAATGGTATTGAAACACTTAAGGTTAAAGTGTTTGATTTGATCAATAAGTGTTAAAAGTGACAATGTGACATCATGTCACAAAACCAGCAGTTTCTTTATCAGTTCTTTTTTGTGAATGACCAAAGGTGTTAGCAATAAATATGGATATTTGCCCATTTGTGATAATTTGCACCAAAAACGCCTTACGTTCAGCAAAACAATCCCAGACTACAAACGAGTCTGTGTTTCAGAAAATAACTTTATAGCTGAACGTCACCTCCTAAAAACACTGACGTGTCTTGAAATAAAAAATGTGAAAAAAGTGGCATCAGACTGCTGAGCAGATGAACTCCTGCATCGTGAGAAAATGGGAACATATTTGTCTTTAAAAATAACAGGAAACCACAGCTACGTTTATTAAAATGTGAACAGCAACACGGTGAATATGTTAGGTTTCAGAAAACACGTTTAACATCTTATTTGTCTTTTAAACTCTTTATCAAACATAGGGTTTTAATAATTTGAACAATGTTATTATGATTTTGAGAATGGCTATACCCAGGAGAGCACGGAGTTACATCAGTGGAGTCGTTTGTAATAAATCATCAATAAATTACTCCAAATAAATGTTTGAATCTTGCCTTATTTGTCTCTCCTAAACACAGATTTATTTTTGTGATTCATTGCACTTCTCCTTACCTGACATACAGAGAGATGGGCACCACTGTGTTCAGAATGATGACATAGGACCAAAATGAGAGGAAGGCTGAGAACAGGAAGTTGTCCACAGGAGGGTCCCAGGGCAGGTAGCTCTGGAACAAAGACCCCACCTCTTTCTCCCACACTGCGTTCCCCACAGCCAAGATCACACCCATGCAGAACAGGAAACCAAAGATCTAACAGAAATGCACAAAAATAGTAAAGGAAGAGTAGGCAAGAAAAGGTTGACCAAATGTTAATACAAATATTGGTTGGTGCTGCTCAAATCGGTGTAGCGTGTGTTACTAGAATACAGGATGAAACTAAATTTAAGCCACTGAGATCACGTCCTGGAATAGTTCAGAGCCATGAAAGTGAGATGGTCTCACCCAGAGGACCAGAGTGTTCATCAAACGATCGATGCTCGTACGTTTAAACTTGGTACGGCCGCTGTTCTGCATTAGTTTGGTATCTGGGCCTGGGACAGAAACAGAACTGCGATGAGTCAATACACACCTGCAATACACACTCTGCCAAGGACACACACACACCCACCTGCAAAGATGACCAGGCCGTAGCAGGCCTCTGTGTTGCGGAGGACACAGCCTCGGAGCAGCATGTTCTGATTGGTCAGGGGGTACTTTTTGTCTCGCCAATACAGAGTTCCACAAAAACGATCCAGCTTGTTGTTGGGAGGCTCACACACCACCTCACCTGCACAAAACACAGGCACAAAAAGAGTACCACATACGACACATTATACTCCCGTCGACAAACTATTATAAATCAAAACCGCAATCTATAGCAATGGCTTGGACAAGCAAAGACCTTATTTGAACTTTGACCTTAATTTGTGACCTTGACCTTAGAGCTGGGATGATTAAAAGTGTACACAACACTGCACGTGTATATGAAGTTTTGTTAAATTATCTTGAGCGGACAAGAGGAAGTTCATGGATAAACGGATGGACAGAGGCAGAGACAGGCATATAATAAAAACAAAATACACACAAACTTCAATTGTAGACCATTGAATGATCTCCAGATCTAATTGGTCTCAAACGAGTATTTCCTGAGCGGTGGCATTTATCATCCTGTCATGCAAACACAGTCTGTTTGTAAGATGATATGAGGCAAAGTGTGGGCAGATTTGCTGCTGTAATGCATTTTTCTGGGCAGGTGAGGAGAGTGTGGGCGAACTCTGCTGACTCAAAGCTCTTTCTCTGGTGGGTGATGATGAGGTTGTCATTTAGTGGTGGCAGAGAAGGACAGAAAGTGTGAACGCTTTGTGCGCCTTCTTTATTATTCATGTGTCAGAGCGAAGGTGGAAAACATTTGTCTTACATACTGAGTACACACTGGAACCTATCATCATCTATATCAAATATGAGAAGGACACAGAGGAAATGAGCTTGTCCTCAGACCTCACCGTTAAATGCTGCCAAATTGTTTGGGTCACCAAGCTCAGCTGTCACCGATACAGACTGACGCACCTTCATGTTGGTTTCTCTGCAAGTTAATGGAAAAAACAACAACAGTTATTTAGATGCACATTTCTATAACTTTTTATTAAGAACTTTAGATGTTTGTGTGTTTTCTGACCCGTCTAACTCAGCAGTCTCAATGTAACACAGACCGTGAGGTTCGCTGCTCGACAACAGGAGGACGTCAGCCTGAAAACACACAGCTGATGTCAGCAAACACTGCAGGACACAGCCGAACTGCTAAAAGCTCAGATCAAAGACGTTACAACAAAATGATCTCATGTGGGTCAAATACAAAAAGCTACGTTCTAAAAGACTGCAGAAAAGGCAGAAAGTGAGTTTTTAAAGCTAAAAGAAGTACAACACTGGCTAAACGCAAAGGATAAAATGCCAGCTAAAAGTAGCAAACAGAAGCTAAAAGTAGCATGCCTAACTAAAAGTTCAATATAGCAAAAATCACCTAAAAGTATCAAACCACTGGCTAAAAGTAGCAAAGGCTAACTAAACCCTAATGTAGCTAAACCATAGCTTAACTTTAAAAGTAGCAAAACAGTAGCTAGAAGTTAAAAGTAGCAAACCACTGGCTAAAAGTAGCAAAGCCTAACTAAAACCTAATGTAGCTAAACTATAGCTTAACTTTAAAAGTAGCAAAACAGTAGCTAGAAGCTAAAAGTAGCAAACCACTGGCTAAAAGTAGCAAAGCCTAACTAAAACCTAATGTAGCTAAACCATAGCTTAACTTTAAAAGTAGCAAAACAGTAGCTAGAAGCCAAAAGTAGCAAACCACTGGCTAAAAGTAGCAAAGCCTAACTAAAACCTAATGTAGCTAAACTATAGCTTAACTTTAAAAGTAGCAAAAGAGTAGCTAGAAGCTAAACATAGCAAAATGCAAGCTAGAAGCTAAATTTAACCTAACAGTAGCTAGATATTAAAAAAGGTGCTATGTGTTGTCATCAAAAGTAACAGACAAAAATAAAGCTGGTATACTGAAACAGATTCCAGTAGAACAATGTTGTTAAATGATTTAAAACATCTGAATACATGTATCAAATTTCATTAAATGTATTTAAATAGCACATTTAAAAAAACTGTTGTTAGCAAAAAAATGCTGTACATGAAATAGTAGAAAAAGAACATAAAAACAAACAAACAAAATCTTGGTAAAGCACGTGAAATAAATTGTAAAAACAAGAACAATTCTTGATCTAAAAATTGCTAAATTGCAGTAAACCTGCAGAAATAGTTAGATCACAAAAAATATTTGGAAATGTAAAAAAAAAAAAAAAAAAGTACTGTAGTGTGAATGTTGAAGTAGAATTCACACAAATTTTTTTCAGCTTGCTCTAAGGATGTAATATGTTAGTGCTATTTATTTTAATCTATAATACTTAAATCTAAACTGAATGTTTGGTGACAGTTGACAGATGTTTTTTGTGCACTTACTGCAACAAACTGCTTGTTCTCCAGTTTAATGATGTCACCCACTTTTACATTCATCCACTTTTCATTCTGCAGTCTGCAAAGACAAACCATATTGGGACCTGAGGCACCTTGTAAATAAAAACATATACGTTATGAATCAGAAGAAGCGGCAGGACGTGTCTGCTCAGCTGTGAGGACTTACGAGCCTCGGATGAGGACCTGAGACTGACGATTGTTCACCTGGCTGTCGCTCTTGTGGCGAAACTGCGGGAGACGAAAGCGTAAGGCTCTTGTTTCAGATACACAGTCTTTATGTGCTTGAGTGTGAAACACATGCTCACATAGTCATCTGTGGCATCTTTTACTGCAGTGATGCTCAGCACCAGAGCCAAAGGCACAATGGTTGTGAACCAGGAGAGGGAGGAAATCTGAGGTATCAACTATAAAAATAAAGATGTGCAGACGAAAATGTGAATCAGATTTGTTTCAACAAAGACACACAGACACAGGAAGCTTCACTGCAGACAGTTTCTTATGATAAGGAAGAGAAGCGCATTAGAAGACATTAGTTTTTTGTTTTTCTTAATTGATTTGTGACCGAGATACATAATAATTTCCTGAGTTTCTGATCGTAATTTCCTATTTTTACATGATATTAAATGAAGCATGTCAATACAGTGTATTATAGTGAGGCGAACAAAACAAATTAAGCAACAAACATCACAAAGGGCTGCACTGAGTCCTGAGGGAAAGGTTTAGTTTCACATCCACCACTCAGATTTTTCAGTTTCAGTGTAAAAACGCTAAACACATGACTAAGTTCTCTTTACAGCAGCACATCATATTGTAGCATTTTGATTAATTTATTTCATAAAATGTATAAACAGAAATTTCATTGTGATTACCATACCATACCATTTTATTTATAGAGCACTTAAAACAGCGACAAGGCCAACCAAAGTGCTGTACAGACAGAACAACAGGTACCACACAAAGCAAAATACAGAATGAAGTAAATCAGACTATAGACATAAAAACGATGCAGATAATAAACATGACGTTAAACCAGTGTGGACCGTACAGGTTCAAAACACAGATCCTCTGGTGTTGAAAGCTACTGAATAGTAATGTTTTTTTTTTTTATGGGATTTGAAAACTGAGAGGGAGGGGGTCAGTCTGACAAGCAGAGGTAACTCGTTTTAAAAGTAAAAAATATCTAACATTGGTGCATGTGGTGCACTTGTTCATATCTTGAATTCAAATTCAGGAGAAACAACTTTATACCAACAAAACTCATCCTTCTCTTATCAACTTTGTGTGTCTAATCGGTGTTGGCTTTAAATATTGTTTGACAATTTGTTTACAAGTCTAAAAAAACTACATAAAAAACATATGTGACCTATCAAGCTCGCTTTCAAACTATTGTTATATTTTCAGCGATTCAAATGAGTTTACTTCTTTGACTTTTACACTTAAAAATGCACTCGAAAAAAATCTTTGTTGGTAAAGTTGTGTTCCTGCCTCATCATTTAGCAACATGACAGGTTTCATATTTAGGTTACTCATGCAGGAAGCAGATATGTAGGTCGGCCAGCTGGTTTACGTGCCTGTTCAGGGTTATTCAGACCATGAAAGGATTTAATTTCTGCAAAAAACTTTTGATTTTTTTCATATAAAAACATCACAAAGATTAGATTTGATCAAAATGACATTTTTTTTAACTTAAATACATTTATTAATTTCAAATACAACGCATGATACTGAGTTATTTACTTTAAACAGAAATTTATGGAAGGTTTAAGAATAGTGATGCAAACAGTATTCACATTTCCACATTGCTGTCACGAGGAGAACCAGGAAGACAGCTGAGGAGGCCACAAGGAGATTTCCAGGGTTTCGCGGAGGAGTCCAGGAACAGGTAAGTCACAGGAGGTACGCACTGGCAGGTAATGCTCCAGCGGCGAGGAGAAGTCATCAGAAGTCTTTTATAGGCTTGGTGCTAAATCAAGGAGAATGTTTGCAGGTGTGGACATTTGGCGCCATCTCAGGCCTCACCTCAGGACAGAAGTGAAATAGGAACTCCCACAATTGCACTTGTCATCCCCGTCATTATATCTTCACCCTCAGACTCACACGGGTCTGCAGGCACGTGGACAACCCTTGTGTGTGTGCTGTTTCACCTGTAAAATGTGTAACAGTCCATAATGCCTGAAAGATAACTAGAAACCAATATTACAGTTAATGTAACATTACTGCAGCAATGCAATAATCATTTTACAAAATGTTTGTAAGTTACCAAAACGTACACATTTAGCTAGCTTTATGTGTGTGAGTGAGACAGAGGGAGATACATACAATATAAATACCAAAGCTTTGTGACATAATGTATATTTCTGAGCTGTAACATTGGTTTAAAAACAATGCTCACCAAATAAAATAATTAGAGCTAATATGCTATCTAGATCTGCATGGGATAATTCAGACAGTGCTATATCAAGAAGTATAAGAGTCTAAGTTTAGATATTTACACACCATGAAACCTGACAAGCAGGAGAACATTTTGATGCATTTTATGTCTTTGTAGCTCACAAGTTGAATAAGTGGCAGTGGTTAGAAAACATGTACAAAAAGAGAAATTAAAAACTTGAGCCATAAACTGGCGTCAGTTGAGCAATCAAGCGCATGTTCTGATGAACCACAGCTATATATCTTACTGTGGAATTTATTTGCTTCAACTTAGTAAATACGATTGTTGTAGGATCTAGAAATGATTTGTGAAAAGGAATGTTCCTTACCTGGATTTGCACTTTGAGATGTCTGAGGTGATATGAAGCACCATGTCACCTCCGTTTTTTTCCCACAGTTTTTTGGATGAGGATATTTATACACTGCAGCATCACCCAGTGAATGTAATCAGTTTAATATAAAGTATTCATTATGATGAATGAGAATGAACAGACGAAGACAGGACTGACGTTTTAAATACAGCAATATGGCAGCAAGAGAAATGTCAACCACACAATTCAAGGTAAACACTAAAGAGTTTTCACAGGATATTTAGGAATATATATATATATTTTAGAATTAGTTCTTGTTCACAAAGAAAATGTAAAATAATCAACTATGTCAGTAATATAAACTTCATCGAGACACGTTTTTTATTTGTTTACACTGAATCCTTCTTTCAGATTTTTCATTTGCATAACTGAGTGATGAGTTAACACAGTGGCACAGAGTTTCCTACACCCACCCCACCCCACTCCACACACGCACGCACGCATGCACGCACACACACACACACACACACACACACACACACCTCACCTGCAGTATGAGCAGGAAAAGGAAGTAAGTGTTGGCTACTTCCTGGAACTGTTCAAACAGGTTGACAGGCAGAAATGTGAGGATGTTGTACTTGGATGTCATGATGCAGTTACTCTAAAACCAGAAGGAAAAAACAAGCAAACAAACAAAACAATACTATGATGACAGCATCCACGTTTTGGAAAAATATATTTACAACAGCTTTATTTATTCTCACCGCATACTGAAACCTTTCATTGTACTCCCTATCGTTGGCTTTGACCTTTCTCTCCTCCTCTGTAGAAACACAAAGATACAAAATCAGTGCTTATATAACACGTATAATTATAAAGTTTTTTTTTAAATGACTTCAGTTTGAATAAAGAAAAGTTTAATTTTGACCAAGTTGACAAACTGATGGTTAGTTGGATTGCAGCCAAGACCAAAAATGTTTCCTAATGTTTCATATAAACACTCTATTTTATGTAAAAATCAGCATAAATGTTGCTTTGCACAATTATTTACATATACAGTAATTCCCTGGATGCTTGCAAGCACAAACAGCAGCAAACAGCTGTAGCACTTCCAGCAGAACAATCATTATGTACTGTATCTGCTGAAATAATCATGTAATACAAAACTGATGGTGTAAGGGTTTATAAAATAAAGTTTGTATAAAACACTATGAAATACTGAAGACTGACACTGTTTGAATGCAGCAGCAATCTACTATAATTTCTGGTGTATAAGCTGCTACTTTTTCACATGCTTTGGACACCGCAGCTAATTTATGTACTGTATTTTTAAATAACATTTACGGTAATTTATAATATATATATATATTTTATGCACTAACAAGCATCCTGCTTCCAAAAACATTTACCGGTAGCTTTGTCACACCTTGGTCACATAATTTGTGTTTTGTTATTTTTTCTTTTTTGCATTTCATTTTGACAGGTTAACAAGCGACCTACACTCAAAGAACATTTTACTGCACACTAGAGTTCTACATTTGATTAGGAGCTGTGTACAGTTTCTGATGTTAAAATGTGGGCACCTGTGGCATATTTATGTACAAAACTGTGTTTTATTTTAAATTGAGTGCACGCTGCTTTTAGTCAAGTATGCTCTATAGACCGGAAATTAGGGTACTTTGTTTTTAGCCTCACTCAGACTAGCCGTTAGCTCGTCAGTCTTGTAAGAACTAAACTCACTAGTTCTTCAAACAAAGGTCCTTCCAAGAGCTACCTTTAACAGGTAAAATAATCAATGGTCACAACATTTCCAAAGAACCCCTCTTCTAAAGATCTGAACTGTCTTTTGTACAGAAAGACACAAAAAAACCACACATTACATTTTTGGTTATTTTTGAACAAATAGGCATCAGCTGTGACGTCAGTCACAGACCTCAGACTAAAGAAAGAGGCAAAAGTCTTCATCCAGGCTATGCTAATAACTAGCCAAATGAGGGCTTGTTTTATATTATTAGTCTTATAAAACAACTTTATTTAATAAACACAACATTCTGGTGTGCAAGAACGCTACGTTAGCTGATATTAAAACTTCTACATTTTGAATGACACAGTTCAGTTTGTCTCTGTTTTCTTAACTGAACGTCTGTGTTTCTGTGTTACAACATTACTATGTGAATGTGTGTGTCTAAGCATGGCTAGATTGTGTTTATATTAATGGTGCTGAGAGGCTGCTGAATGTTATCAGTCCACCTGATCCACACAACTAGCCATTCAGAAACCTCTCAGCACCATTGGCACGGTCTATGCTCAGGACTCACATGTTTGTGAAGCAACACGGACTTTGTTCTGTTCAACAAAAAATGAACAGTGTTGTGCAAAAATGTAGAAGTTTAATAATAGTTAATGTAACCTTTTTTCACACCGGAATAATTTTTAAAGAGTTGTTTAATAAGCCTGAGAACATTATAAAACACACTCACTGCTCTATGACCGATGCAAGATACTAACAATTGACATCTAATTGTCAGAACATCACTTTAAAAATGACCAGATTATCCCTTTAAGTAAAGTATGACTGGCACAGTCTCTCTGACCCTGCATTACTGTACTTTTGTACACTCATCTCAGGACAGTAGGAGTTTCCCTCTACTTTCATCCCCAGAATGGTTCTCCTGTTGTAGGCTACTTTTTAAATAAAATGACACACCAGGTTTGCAGTGGACACTAGTCTGCATACGTATTTCTTAAAGTTTAAGATCAAAATTGTTGCCCTGAAATGAAACAAGTTTTAAGCATACTTCTTAGAGGTGCTACAGGAAGGGCCACCTCACAACAGAATCATTACCCTGTCATCACAGGCTCACTCATAAACAAAGGCACTGTGGTTTCCTGTGTTTCTGCAGCATTGTAAAGGCCCCACACAGCTGAAACCTACATCTCTGCTGTTTCTGAGCTTCACCAAACAAACACAGCCCACCTAAAGGAAAATCAAAAAGCTCCGCTTTGTTGTAAGGTAAGAAAAATTGGTTGAGGCAAATGAGATGAAGAGCAACAGAGGTGGTGTCACAGTTGATTTAACCCATTAAAAAAATAAACCCACTTGTTTAAAAAAGGCGAAGGTGGATGATAATGTTTTTGTTTGTGTCTTTGAGCACATGTGCATCTGCTTGTTACCAAAATATGTCATGATTCGCTTGACAAACTGTACTTGCTTAAAGAAAGTGATCACTGAATGCCAGGGCATCAAGAGTGGACCAGAGTGACGATAACCCTTAAACATGAAACAATTAATGTTTCTGAGTAATTAGGTTAAAAATATAAATCCATCCATCCATTATGTTCACCCACTTCTTCCTTTCTGGGTCACAGGGGTCACTGGTGCCGATGTCCAGTCGTCATTGTGTGAGAGGTGGGGGACACCCTGGACAGGTCAAAAGTCCAGCACATGGACACATAGAGCCAAATGAGACAAACAACCATTCACGCCTAAGAGCATACACAGGGCCGGCCCAAGGGCCCCACCTAAGTGGAATTGAAAATTTTTATTGTAATGATTTTTTTATATGATTCTATTTAATATTTTAAGTTCAGCTTTTGCAAATTATTGCATACGTTTACATAGTTTGAAGAACTAATTAATCAACTTTAAATTTATTTTTCTAAACCATTTTACGTGGTTTCAAGTAATTGTTCATTTACATTATTTATTTCCTTGATATTTTATTTTTTATTTTATTTTATTTGCTCAATTTAATTTATTTTTATGTATCTAAGTTATTTTATCTGTTGTTTGTTGTTGATCTTGCACTACAAATTATTTTGAACATTAATGTTGCAGTTCTTTGGAACCAAAGATAATAAACCAGATGACACTTTTGCTGTAAAATACATTACATACTGGTGTTTTTATTTTTTTATTTTGTTACTTTTAGTACCACTATGATCTAAACATGTAGGATAATGTAAACAGGGATGTCAGAGCTGCAATGAGTTTATGTTAGGTGGGTGAACTGTTGATCGCAGTAATCCACATTATGAGCAAAAGTAGAGGACCCCAAACCAAATTTCGCTTAGGGCCCCATGGAGGTTTGGGCCGGCATACATATAACCATTTGAGTGGTATATGCATTATATATATATTTTTTTATAAATATTTAAATTTAGGAGAGGACAAGCTTCAAAAAAGTTGAGTAGTGACAGTGCTTTACACAAATACTAATAACTATAAAATAAATAAAAGTAAAGTAGACTTGCAAACATCAGAATGTGATTCCCTATCTACTGTTTTACTATTTATTATGATAAATATAACAACATGACAAATCTCCTCAAATTTTGTTCTGACTTTTGGTTTTGTTGTGTCACAGCAGAACACACCAGTGGACCTCACATGGCCACCACATTAAAAGATTTTCGGAGGCGCCACTTTTGGATGCACATCCACAACTCTTAGAATCAACTCTTAGAATCAACTCTTAGAATCGACTCTTAGAATCAACTCTAAGAATCAACTCTTAGAATCGACTCAATTCAAGATGGCAACCACAGCCAACTTACCTTAAAAAAGCAAAAAGATTCTCCGTCAATTTTTCAGATTTTGAGCTAAAACGTGATGTGAAACTTCTCATGTAGTAATAATCTCTTGTTTTAAATGTTTACTGGCTTGGAAGGAGGAGTCAAAAACAAACAAAACAAATAAAACAACAGAGTTTGGGGGCTTCAGCTGCCTGGTGTTAAATCAGCTGCACAGCAAGAGATTAGTGGAAAAAGCAAAAGTTTCAACTGTCAAACTGAGTGCAAACAATACCCCACTAGCAGTGACATGTTGCTCTTTCTTCTAAACTCTAATTAGCATGATATCAGATAGTAGAAGCATATTATTCAGAATCTTTTCTACTGAAACTCCTCCGCTTCCTGTTGTCTCTCGACTTTGCTTGTTGTGTGGATGAAGGTCATCGTGTTTGAAGATTTGTTGAACGTGTGGAGATTTGTTGAACGTGCAGAGCTTTGGTTGTGAGGAGGGCAAAATGCCTGTGCTGGGTAAGCACTGAGCCCTTCCAAGCATCTTACGTCAGGAATGTGTCTGTTCATGATGTGCAAGCTGACAAACTCAGCTTGAATGCAAGAGCATCGTTATCAAACTGCACAGTAAGTGTTTAATGTCTCTGACAACTTCAAGGGCACCAGAAGCCCTGACACTGACACCTCGCTGCACTGCAAGTCTGTAGAAATCTATAAAAGTCATCACGGACGGGGGGGATTTTCATAAAAACAAAGACAATGATGTGTAAATACATATCGATTTGAGCTCAAATACAAGCCCAGATAGGACATTGTGTAAAACAGTTCTGTGGTCAATCAAGACTTGAAATTGTTTTTGGAAACCTTTGACATCACATCCTTCATACTAAAGAGAAGGGAAACCATCCAGCCTGTTGTCAATGCAAACTTCATGAGTATGCCTCTCTGTTGATATGGGGTTGCATTAGTGCCTATGGCATGGACAGTGTACATACCTGTAAAGGCACCAACACTGCAGAAAAAAATGGTTCAAAAAATGGAAACATTTGATGTTTACCATTTTCTATTAGGAAAACATATGGGTTTATAGGACTTGTAAAACCTGTTTGTATTTACATTGCTTATATTTATTCAACATCAAAATCTCATATTTGGAAAAATTGATGCATTTATTTAAAACCAAAAGCACATATTTTGTTATCCCCCCTCCTCCTGTCTTCTTAATACTCTTATCCTCATGACAGGAGGTGTGAGAGGACAGGCCACTGCTCAGCAGGACACAATATCTCCATCAACAGAGACTGAAGCTGGAGCCATGAGCCCAAACACAAGTCAGACTGAGCTATGGGAAAACATTGTAACGACTGCAACGTAGTCCAAATCAGATCAGACTCAGAGGAGACGTGATCATTGCTTACGGTAGATGATCTAATTATGGTGAAAAGAATTGTCTGCAGTCACATGCACTCCCTCTCACGGCCAACTTATTTGTCTGTACGTCCTTCTTTTGTCCACTATGGCCAGTAATATATTTGCCTGGAGAAAAATGGAAGTGACACGGTGACAGAGTAATGGAGCGGGGGGGGGGGGGGGGGGGGGTTTAAATGTGTGTCCAGTGTGATTGGTGATGGTTAAGCTGAGGAGTAAGGGTACAGACGAAGCAGAGCAGTGGAGGCTGTGGCGCCTATAGGATTGATCAGTGTCTCGGGCAGCAGAGAAAAGACACCAGAGACTTATTTACACAGAATCCAGACTCAGATTAAAATCTGCTTTTACTTAAACACAGATTAACAGTGAAAATTTAACACAATTACAGGCTGAGTGCTGCTTGAAGAAATGCATATTGCCCAAAGCCTTTCATTAGAGTTGTAGATTAAGATCATCTTGTGTTAAGAACTCATGGGGATGCCTTTCTGGCCATATCTTGAACGTATTGTTATGCGAAATCTGGCTGTCACGCTCAGAGTACGTGTTGAGAATGACTCTCAGCTACTACCACATCACATTTTAGCTCAGTAACTTTAAAATTGACTGCTTTACAACCAGTTTTGTGTTTGCTAATCTTGATTAGCTGTGGCGGCCAAGTTGAATTGGACTGAGTCCAAATGTTCAACAGTTGTGGAAGTACATCCAATGATTACTGTCTGCAAGTTTCATTAAAATTCATTAAGTGGTTCATAAGATATTTTGCTAACAGACACATATAGGTAAAAAATATTTAACTTCTGCCTAGGTCTTTCAGCAGGCAACAACTAACATGAGAGAAACACACAAATACAGAAAGGCTGGACATAAAAATAACTAATAGTAGAAGTATAAAGAAGAGTAGCTGCTTCACTGTTATTTTGTTATTTTTAATAATAAACACAGATATTTATAATACAAGCTGACAGGTTGTCTGTTATGTGGACATGCAGAAGGATGGAGATGAAAATTTAGGTGGGATGAGAAAGAAATTTGATGAAGAAAACAATCAGTTAAAAAGTGTCCAAACTGTGTTGCCAGGTAAATTCATACCTGTCAGCGTCTTTTTCAACATTCTTCCAACAAATTCTCTTTTCCTTTCTGTGAAAAGGCAGAATGAGTGAAAACCATTGCTCCTGGAGCTCTTTCTGCACTGCCATCCTAAATAGGTTTGATTTTTTCTGAGATGACTTGCTGCAGATGTCACATCTTCATAAGGACTATTATTTTGCCCCTGCCTGCCTCTGTGCCCTCCCAAAACTGTAGTTTTCTGCATGCTGAGGTCTTTTTTTATTATTATTGTCAGAAATCAATTTCAGAGACTTTTAGTTTTGACTAAAGCTGTCATGATGTCTGTGGAAGTTTATTAAAATGTTGCAAAAGCTTCACCTACATGGAGGCACAAAGGCATCAGCACCAGGGCTCCTTTTTCTGCAACCTCATCAATCAATTAAAGCTGCATCAAGTTTCATCCACAACATAAACACTATCCGATGTGGGTATTGTGTAACCACGACAGTGTTACTATGGAAACCACCTCTGCAGGGATTTCAAAAATCAGAGTGTCACGGGAATAAGGAAACTAGACGCCATTTTGGATGTAAAATTCACTTTGGGTTTTGAGTCAAAATATGCTGCAGCCCCTGTTTCCCACCTGTTTGATGGATGAAGGTGAGTCAAAGTGGGCGGGGCCACACAGGCGCCAGAGCTCCTGAACACCCTGAAGTTATCGGCAGGACAAGAAAAGACCTTGTTGTAACTTTGACCCTAATTTGTGACCTTGACCTTGGAGCTGGGGTGATAAAAAGTGTCTGTGACACTTCGTCTAGTGATGCGTGTGTATCAAGTGTCGTAAAGTTTTATGGACTTTATAGACTACACCATAATTATGTTCTGCCATCAATGGATGTATAAAAAGTGAAAAAGGGACGTCTGTTTGAGGCTGAAGATGTGCATGTAGAGATTCCAGCATCTCTCTAGTGAGCCACCTGCTGCATTCAAAGACCAAGGCTGCCAGAGGACGAGGCCATTACATTGTCTACTCCATGATGTTCAGTGAGCAGACAAGAGTTCTTAGTGCAATTTAAGATACTGAGAATTTATCCTGCTTTCCTTGTGCTCCTCTCAGATGAGAATCTGTTTCTTGTGTTCTCCAAGTTTGGAACCTACCTTGGTCCTCCAGCCTGGGTTTGCCTTCAACCCGTCATCCTTTTCATACGAACATTACAATTGGGAAGATCTCTCACTCACCTCAACATTCTGGTCCGACCTGCCACTCTCCAACCTGTGAAACTCACCTACCATACTCACATTCTTGGAACCTAGACTCTTACCCTCCTCTCTAGAACCGAAACATCTACAACCTGAGTAAGACTCCTCTGTTAATATGAAGCCTTCCAGAAAATTCTCTGCCTAAAAATACTTACCATCTTAATTCTGCATCCACAGATACTTACTTACCCGTTTCCTCCTGAGTCCAGCCCCAGTAAATACTGTAAATATTGTAAATAAATGTACCGTTTCACCTTCAGTCTCAGACAGCACAGTGGCTCAGTTGGTAAAGCTGTTGCTTCTCAGCAAGAAGGTCGCAGGATCAAATCTCGGCCAGGGACTTTTGTGGGTGGAGTTTGCCTATTCACTTTGTGCATAAGTGGGTTTTCTCTGGGTATTCTGGTTTCCTCCCACAGACTAAAAACATGCATATTAGACTGATTGATAACTCTAAATTGTCTCTAGGTGTGAGTGAGAGAGTGAATGGATGTTTGTCTCATTTGTTTCTATGTGTCCCTGTGATGGACTGGAGACCTGTTCAGAGTGTCCCCCACACAGTGACCGCTGGATATAGGCACCAGTGACCCCCGTGACCCGAAAAGAAAGAAGCAGGTAAAGATAATGGATGGATGGATTTGTATACACTCTTAGTGACTCCCCTAAAAGAGATTAAAAAGTTTGTCTTTGTGAGCTTTTCTGCACAAGAAACACCTTTTTTAAATCTTTGAATCTCCATTAAGCAGCCTGAGCCACATATCATAAAAAAAAAAAATAAAAAAAATAAGAACAGTTAAATACACAGAAAATGAATGCGTTTAATATGAGTTGCTGACCTGGAGGAGGCCTCTTTCTGAACATCTCCACTCTGACGGTGTCCTTTTGCGTAGGCCCATGAGACTGCCTGCTGAGGGACAGAAAGAGCTGATTTAAAACAGAGCAGGAGGAGAGAAAAGTGAAATGTTAAACACAAAAAAACATGTTTTTGATTAAAACAAAGTGTTGAAAGTGGCACAATCTCTTTGTGTTAAAGTGTCATCAAACAGGTGATGCATTTACTTTCAAATGTCCTTTTTTTCAGCTCGAGGCTGTGAAAAACAAACTGAAAATCTGCTGAGCGTTCAAACCACTGCAAAACAGGACACACACATACAGCAGAGCACCTCTGGTCTGTTTGAGCCATAATGAGGAAATTATATTCAGCAGAGAGCTGCATCCGTCTGTCTGGAGACCAGAGGCTTCGGTCAGATCCATTCAGTTTCCTTGAGTGAATAGAAAAGAGTCACGAAGCAGCTGCACAGCATCTCCTTTCCTGTATTTTTTATGTTAAAGTTTATTCAAAAGCACATGTGTTGAACAAAGAACAGAAACATAAAACTCAGTCTGACTCCAATGCCAAAGAGTAAAAACTTTTTTAATGGGGTGACGATGAGGTCTCCTGTATGGGTTAGTCTGCTCTTCGCTACATTCAGGAGCATCGGCTCACCTAACATCAGTGACCTCTCAGAAGTGTGCAAGGTTAAAAGGTTCAGGACTTGAGATCCTATTCGGTCCAACTTTATTAATAAAGCACTTTAGAACAACCACAAAAGACCCAAGCGCTGTGTAAAGTAATAAATAGAGGACATACTGAATGAAAGCAACATGATACAGAATAAAAACATCTCACCTGGTGTCAAAAGCCAAAGACAAGAAAAGTGTTTTAAAAAAGTGAGAGACGAGCGCTGCCTAATGTGCAAGGGGAGGTCTTTTTATAATTTAGGAGCTGCAACAGCAAAAGCCTGGTCCCCTCTGAGTTTACACTTAGTTTTTGGGACACTCGGGAGAATCTGTTCAGTAAAGTGGGTGTAGACGAGGTGCAGCAGCAATTCTTTAATGACTCCCAAAATGTACAGGTTGTGCAACAATTATACAATTGTGTTTCAAACATCCCACATCAACACATTTTCATGTGTTGCAATGGTAAAATAAATTGGCTCCAGAATCATTAGTTCATTAGCTTAAAAATAAATCTGTGTGGAGTTTGCATGTTCTCTCCGTGCATGCGTGGGTTTTCTCCAGGTACTCCTGCTTCCTCCCACAGACCAAAAACATGCATGTTAGACTGACTGGTAACTAAATTGTCACTAGCTGTGAGTGAGAGTGAATGGTTGTCTGTCTCGTTTGTTTCTATGTGTCCCTGTGATGGACTTGCAACCTGTTCTGGGTGTCCCCCGCCTCTCGCACAGTGATGGCTGGATATGGGCACCAGTGACCCCCGGGACTTGAAAAGGAAGAAACGGTTATAAGATGATAGATGGATGGTAACAAGACTGTTGCTTTAACCCAGTGTTGTTGTTTCTTTTACCTTTTTTGAGCCACAGCACTTTTTTACATCAAACAACCCCAGCAGCATATGATTAATCAAAAAAGTTACAAAATGACACACCGTAGTCTAATACAGCACATATCATGACAATATGCAGTAAATTATCAATTTACTCAGTGGGCCTGTTGACAAGAGCACAAAGCTGATATCCAGGCAGGAATTGAAGAGAGGCGCACATGAAGCTCTTTCTCAACAGCTCTCAGTCTCTCTCTCTGTTTTCAGTTTTCATAGTAGTCATGCTTGAAAAGTTCTGCTTACTTGATATGTTGAGGAAAATTGGAGCAACATTGAAATAGCTGTTTGGGAGCATGGGAAACTGGCAGAAGTCATCCAAAAACTGCCCCAAGATACTGTAGTTCAGCAAAGCTTAGCTTTAAACTAAGGTCTTGTATCAGTTCAGTTAGTTCCTGGATGACCTTTGACTGCTGTTGAGTTGTACAGGTTCCTAACCAAGAATTTTGTCTAGGGTCCAGTTTACCACCACTATCATCTTCTTATTGCCCTACACACTGTCACCTTCTATAAGTAATAGAGTTTAAATTGCTTAGCCAACACAACACAGGCACAGACACTCAACAACGCCAAATCCTTTGCAGCAACTAACTTTTTTGACCTATTAAGTGTAATTGGATAAATTCCCATGGCATGCCTGATTATCACCTGCGACACAACACAGTGGTTAAATAGACTGCTTTAACCAATCAGATTTAGAGTTGGCAACACTGGGGCCACCTAGCATGAAGATGTTGCCATTTTCATATCATTGGCTGGATGGCCAGAGAGTTTATCTGCCACTTTCAAATAGACAAATATGAAAATGACTCGTAGCTCAAAGCCTCTGAGAAGCAATGCAGTTTGTGTTGTTGGGAATGCAGCAGATGGACGTCATGTCTGGAGTCAGCTCAAAATGTATGCCAGAAAAACGACTGGACAGATTTGAATTTTTACATTAGCCTCCGTGGTAACAGAAAGGGACCTAAAGCTGTAGCTGAAACGGAAAGGGTGGATTTAGTGTTCAAACATTCAGTACTTTGGGTGAGTAAAATTTATTTTATTAACTTTTTTTAATTTTACCATAGTAATTTTTATTTAATCTGACCCCACGTTTCGGACTAAACTTTTAGGGTTACAGCTGAAAAATTTCAGGAGTGAAACCTCATGAGCCTGTGGTGACTGTAATTGTGCTATTTATCCGGTTCATGTGTTGAAGCTTCTGCTACAGATGATGCCTGCTGTGGATGAAGCAAAATGAGACTTAATTGTTGGCTGAACTGTGTTTAATTCAAAAAAGTCCATGTTCAATAATCCAGGTATACAATCCAACAATTTTCAATCAGGTCATCTGGACAGTTTCTTTTTTTTTGCGCTGAAACGTTTCATCTTCCATCCAGAAGGCTTCATCAGTCAAGGAAACACACAACACAACAGTTTACTCCAAAGTGGAACAAACCAGTTATGTTGGTGATAAGATGGTGTCTTTGGCACTCCCCCTCCTCCGGTGCTGGCCCTCTTCCTTGTCGACAG